CACTGGCAACCGCATTTTTTGGCTGCTACAAGAGTAGAGCCTCTTACTGCCTTGTCAGTGAGAAGCAATGAGACTGTGCAACCTCTCCCCATCAGTGGGGAGGCTTTCACCTTCAGGCCTCAGGGGAGGATGAAGCAAGACATGCAAGGTGGTGCTCACCTGAAGCACATTCCTTCAGGGAGCCACACACCTGGCACAGTCTTCACCATCTTCACCAATGGCTCCAGCCACCCACAATGCTGAGGGGGCAACAGGACTGCCTCAGCTCACAGCATCTCTCTCCACTCATCTAACTGGATACAGTTGCTTGACCTTTTTATGCAGGAGAAGGAACCCCTGTGATTACCCTCCAGCAAAGCATAGGCTCCCTTGCTTGGTCCTTGGGTTCCCTCAAAATCTCAAGCTGACCAAGGAGGTAAAGAGTCCAGCCTCCAGCAGGTTGGGTTCACACGTGCCACATGAACTTGCCCCGGTCCATTTTTTAGAAAGAGAGTCTGCCCTCAAGCAATCAGCACATAGAGAGGAATGAAGGAAGAGGCCGGTCTTGGGGCCAGAAGAGCAGCTCTCGCCTTCAGCTGCTGCCCTCCCGCTTCATGCTTTGGCCCGAGCCCAAGCCCATGCTTCCATTCACAGGGGTCCAGTGAGAAGCCCCCAAGGGACACTACAGACCTACCAGATACAGAGGTCAGAGACCTGAGATGGCTCAGTTCAGAGATTAAATGCGCTTCTCCTGCCGGCACCCACATCTTCTCTTCCTCAGAGTTCTAAGTAAGTTCACGTTTAAGGCAAATGCTATTAAATGCGTCCCTGGGCCTGAATTTACAATAACCTAGAATAATAATTAAACAGGCAAATAAGATGGTGGAAAAAAACATATCTTATGTTTTGTTGAATTCAGCAATTTACAAGGCTAGAATAATTAGTGGCTTAAAATGTTTTGACACAAGCAACCCCAATAATCATGACAAATCGTATCAGGCATATGCCCAGATCCTTGAAGTGACAGATGACAAACAGAGCAGTGACAAGACGCTCTATCATGCAGGGAATCATTGAGTTAATGGAAGAATTATTGCTTCTGAAATCCACTCCAGTCCTATTGTGGGGAACATTCCAATTTATCAAAGCCAAATGAACATTAATTGCTGCAGCCTGGTAAGTTTTCGAGCTGCTGTGACCTTCATTGAATTTTAATCCAAAACAGATAAGATTTACTTCCACACAAGAGGAAACAACACAATTAAACCCAAATGACAGCAAAGATTATGGGGAAAAACACAACAGGCGTAATGACAAAAATATTGATTCCTTTCTACTTGACACTATGCAAAAAAAGTAAATAAATAAAATCCAGTATTTGCACATTTTCCCTTTCCTCCTTTCTTTTCAGTCGGGAGACAAATTTCAGATGCTGAAGCCAAGAGGAAAGGGGTGGCAGATAGCAAGGGAGACCAAATTCCCTTTAACTGTGGTAATTAACGTTATGTCTCATTGGGGAGCGATTAGGGAAAAACAGTGAGGAGGAAAAAAAAGAAAAGAAAAAAACAAGTATTATTTTGCTATTAAAGATGTCCCAGGGTTTGGGAATAGAGGCACGAACAGAGTCACGGCTGCACAGTACCTAAGACTTTGGCAGGGGCTGATGATCACCCCAGGGGCACAGGCTCCCAGCAGCCGCTCTCCCCAGGTCGATGTGGACTCTTCCTTGTGTTCAGGTCGTTAAGGAAGAGCCCTGCTTCCCTCCATCCCCACCAGCTCTCAGCGCTGACCCCCGGGCAGCCACCTCTCCCCAAACCCTCCTCCAAGGAGCCACCTTCTGCACCAACAGAATTAGCTATAGTTAAAGGAGACTGATGTTCCTCGCCAATTCAGTGCACTGAGAGAGAGCACGGGGTGGGGGGCACTAAATGAAACGGCCCAAAACCAGAAAGCCATGCACACGCAACCAAGATTACAGGAAAAAAAGTAAAGGAAGTAGAAAGGTATATTAAACATGACAGATGCTGAGATTTGGTTAATTCGAGGTTGCAACCAAGTCCCTGCTGCCCCTTTTCCCCCTCCTGCCCTCAGCCCCACTCGACGCCGCCACGTGTACCATGAGCCCCCTCTTCCGCCGTTCAGTCCGATACTGCAGCACTGGGGTTTCACCTCGCGACGGAGCACCGTGCTGAAACGCCCTCCCCAGCCCCCCACGCTCCGCGGGGTTTACACTCACCAGCGTCTCAGCCTCTGGAGCAGGTTCTCCTGGGCCCCAGCTCAGCGCAGCAGATATTTTGGCTTTACAGGCAGAGCACGAGCAAAGCCAGCCAAGTCATAAACATCAACACAAATCCACAGTAACCTTTCTGTACGAGGGAGTTCAGCTCGGAGTTGTCTCTTTGTCCAATAAAGCTTTGCCAGAACACTGCCTAAACGTGTAAAGTCAGGAATTAAGAGAGATCCCACAGGCAGACTGTACCCAGCTCTCTATAACTCAGCCAAAGAACGAAGAGACAGGTAAAAGTAAGTGTTACAGTCCCTTAAATGAGATTGAAAGAAGCACTTTCCAATGTTTCCCCCTGTCCCCTATGGTGAGATCCTAGGCAGATGATAAACTGGGCACGCAGACACTGAATGCCGAAAAAACACAGCTGCTGCAAAGGCAGCGTTGGGGTGGCTTGGAACAACTCCCACATGGCTCGGGAGGTGTTCGGTCTGCAGACAGCGTGCAGGACGCTTCAGGCTTCACAGCACCAAGCAGGAAGAAAAGTATTTAAGAACTGGAAAGAGAAGACGTGGCCATTTTGAGATGAATCTCAAGGTAGAAGAAAGGATAAGGATATCAAGGGTTTATGAGAGGACAGGAGGTTGGGCGCTGAGTGAGCACACAGGTTGGGGCTGGTACAGGGATGGCAGAGGCAGCTGGTGGCTGCCAAACACGGCACCATGAGGTAATGAAGCTCCCCCAGAGAGTGGGCCGTTTCTCAGATGCAATTCAGCCGGGGTCAGGGAGGTATGGAAAAGCATGGGAAAGGAGGCTGAACAAAGCCCAGATACTCTGATGAAATATCTCATCCAAGAAACAAAGACTTTCACCCACTTTTACTTCAGCTATACCACTCCATGTGGTTTTTGAGGAAAACACCACTATATATCTTCTGCTAGTAACTCAAAACTCGGCTCAGGTTCACTCAAAAAGTTAATGAATCTTCCAAAAAACTGGGCAAAGCATCAAGTCTGTGATGCAATCCTGACCAAGGCCTCCAGGGCTTTTGTACGGCTCTGCCTGCTCCCCCAGCCTGTTCCCAGGGATGCGTGTGCAAGCTGGTACCCTGGCCCAGACCTATACTCCCAGGTCGGAACTTCAAATCCCAAAACGATGAGTACCAGGACTTCAAAAGAAAGTGGAATTATGACATGGTCTGTGCATAAGGAACATTTCTTCCTTTTCTAATAAAGGAAATCTGCATTTTAAGCAATCACACTAAGCACCTGGCTACAGAACCGGTATCTCACCCTTGGTCACAGACTATTTCTGTACCTACAAAGGAGAATAGTCCTGCGCGCGAGACTGGCAGAGGTTTACCCAGAATAGCTGAGCAATCCCACATTCAAATCAGGAATCAAGTTTTCCACATCCCAGACATGTACCCTGTTGTGTCCATTCCTTGTTCTCTCTCTCTCATCCATTTTTTCACGTTCATTCTTTAAGTATCTCGGTTTTATCTTTTTCTTCCCAACACTCCACCATACTGACATTTTTGCAGGACACAAGAAATGCTCCCTACCAAATCCAGTAAGTTGGAGCGCCCAATTTCTTTCCCTTTCTGCCATCCTATCATACTGCTTCTTATCTTGCCCACACCAGCCTTAACGTAAAGCCTCTCTCTGTGTTCACATGCATTCAGAGCTCAATCTAAAGCCTCCCTGACAAGGGTCTGGACACTCAAAAGAGCAGATTTAAGCTTTAGAAGCCAAATAGTCTCTCATTCAAATGGAAAGCAAGACTTCATGCAGCCATGGTCTCTGCTCCTCCTCCCCACAGGAACAAAAGATGTGAAGACAACACACGTTCTACAGTGTGAACACATGGACCTTTGCAGCTGATTGCTGCTGTGGGTTTTTGAGGAAGCCTCCTATCTCTGCTGGTTTCCTCTCACCCTTTTTTATATGGGTGAAGCAACTTCCTGTGGCTCTGAATCCGACAGGGCCACTCAAGTCCAGGGTGCAGCGCAGACAAATCCCAATCCTATAGAACACTTTCCTCAGGCAAAGAGATGACGTGCATATACACTCTAGTTTGTGGATCTACAAGCCTAACTTCATTTTTATCCCAAGGGGAGTTAAGGGACAGTACGATTGGTCCTATTTTACAAGTGGGGCTCTAAAGCACAGAGGGACAATAGACCAAATTCAAGTATGAAGGCAACCACCTCATAAGATACTAAAATAAACATCTTAAAGGCAACAGAGCACATGTGCAATATGTTTAAAGAAGGTCACAAACACCTGAGATAGAGATATTCAAAGGATTTGGACTATCTTTTCCCCCTTAGATCAGAGGGATCTTTGAAAGAGAAAGATCACTCAACTGCCCATACTGACATGATAGGTAAAATTCAGTTTAAGAAAGCTTCAAAAACACAACACCAACCAACTCCATGATCTTGCCTTTATATATGCCAGAATGCAAGATCAACTAATACACTTCAAGATCTGTCAACAGAGGCACAAAGAATCACAGCTTCATTTTTACCTGCCCAACAGCATCTTCCCCAGAGAGAGTTTGTGACCAATTACACTTTTTTTCCTGGCCCATTCAAACCCACCTCTCCCTCTTTGGGGGCCCAACTAAGAGGAGAGTCAGACAAGGAGCGCACTTAAGGGATACAGACATTTGTACACTGGACTTGCCAGTCTGTTCTTTATCACCACCCTCCCATTCCAGTCTGGCTGTCAGCCTGCATTCCTTCCCAGATGGTCCTCTGTGCCCTCAGACAGAGTTGGCGGCTTCAACTCACCATGACAGAGATATGAAGAATGTGCATCTGCTCCTCCACTATCTCCGAAGGCTCCTGGAGGGTGGGTGGAGTGACCCGAGACAGCTGCTCAGCACTGTTCATGGAGACGTGGAAATACAGGGTACCATTCTCCAGCCACTGCTGCTTCCAGTGCACCAGGGAAATATCAGCCACGGTCCCAGACATCTCTGCAGTGACAAAACACAACTGAGGGTCAGCCTTTTTCACCATGCTGAAAGGCTGCACTCTTTGCAGTTCAAGGAAAGGAGTGGAAATCAGGACACTTGAGTCTTACCCCTAACCCGCCTCTGATCTGCCGGTGACCTCAAGCATTGCCTTTGGGCCTCTGCACACCATCTTCCCATATGTGAACAATACTATCAGTCTTCCTTAATCAAGGGGTATGAAGAGCCTTGGGATTTCTGGACAAGAAGGGCAACTACAGCAAACAATACACTGAACAAGGTGCCTTTAATCTCCTACAGTTCTCCCAGCAACATGCCAGAAGTAGCTCCTAGAGGTCTGCAGTGAAGCCCAGCAGTGGTTTCCTGGTCAGCACAAGGCAGGGGTAGGATGCTTGGTGTGAAACAAGCCAGAACGCAGACATCAGCATGTGCTCTGCTGGCTTTTATGAGGGAAATCATCTTCCAGGGTTAGCAAGCTAGCACTAGAGCTATCTTTAGCAAGGACGGTTCCAACACAAACTAACAAGCACTAGCAAGAGGTGGTGCACCTGGAAAAGCTAAGCACCAGGCTTGACAAATATGTATTGGCCTTGGGGTTGCACATCAGTCTGTCTCTGCAGCCTTCTGCCCCAGAGATGTTAGTTTTACCTGTCACATCACACACAATTCTGATTTACAATGTACACACCTTAGGAGCTGGGATTGTAACATCCTAACATTCCTATCCACAGCAACATCTTACCCTGACCTAAATTCACGTCACCACACCTGGGTAATTAGCTGCTTGGACAATTCAGGCACCAGAAGCAAATCCTAGATTCACAGTCACCAGCACAGTCCAGAGCCAGCAGCCTCCAAGCCTCAGCTGCAGCTCCGAACTTGGCCAGGCAGCAGCAGAAATAGGCAAGATGATGGACAGCTGTGAAGCTGTCAGCAAAGTTTTAAATGGATCTCTGCAAAGAACTGATTTGTCAGTTTGGCAGCCAAATCAAAACCAAAAAAAAAATACTAGGGCAAAACGATCCAAAATATTTCTCCTTCCACCACCTCTTTTTCGTGTTTGTTTTTCCATTTGCAACATAAGCAATGCAAAACAAGTCAGGTTCACAGTGGCAGTCCTCTTATTTACTGGGCCCACGGCTTCTGCAATCACCCACTTTGTGAGAGACCCAAATTCAATTCCCTTCTGTTTGTGAAGGGAGCGACCTAGCAACTGACTGTAATAGATTGTGATGTGCTTCATAATCTTTGACAAATGCTCTGTTTTGCATAAGTATTTACACCTTCTGTGAAGCAGCAGATGATGGGTATCCAGTGAGTGTCCTTGCTGTAAGGACACAGAGCCATTAAGCTGCCTGCCTCAGTGCGTGGACAACTCTACCCCACAACCGAGAGAGTTCAACAGAAAATCCAGGAAATCCACCTCAAAACAGCTGTAGTCTCTAAGGTATGGCTACTCCAAGAAGGTAGAAAGTGCAAGTTCAGATCCCCCTTGCACTAAGAGCGGGGACTGAGTTGAGGCCCTCCTCCACACCTTGACTGAACACCACCACGGGATCACTCGGTAAAGGGATTACCGATAGAGATGATTGATTATTCCCCTGCCCCTATCTCCAGTAAAAGCCACCTAGTGAACAGAGGTGGAATTTTGCATTCCACTTGCACAAACCCAGCTGGGCAAAAGCACATCCCCTTCTAGCTCTGAGCAGAAACTGACAGTCCTGAGAGGCTATTGACATCTTTCAGACCAAGATCCTTCAAGGTACTTTGGTGTGGGCTCGTTAGCAGCAACACAGGCCTGAAGATCGGGCACTTTCACTTCTCCCAACCTCTCTTGCCCCAGCAGCAAAAGCTGATGATTCTTCAGGGACGATTTCTCTAAGCCCTGGGAGCAATATATTCTTCAGCAGAAGACTCCTGGCTTTCTGTCATGGATTTAATTGAAAAATTTAATCCATTGATTTCTATTATGAATCTCTGCTCACAGAGATGTCCCCATCATGACTCTGCAGCACCCTACAAAGAGCTGGTCCCCTCTGTCCACCAGACACCTTCAGCCCCACCGCTTGCTACGTGGCTGGCAGCAGCCTGGCTGAGGGCAGAGACAAGGTTAGCCTATTGCTGCTAACTCCCTTAGTCAGCACCTCACTAATTATGCTCTTGACTTACCTGGGACAACTGCACTGCCACCTCAGTCTAATCGGAGGGCTGTGCTCATTATCTCTGCCTCACAAGCACAGCAGCGGTTGTTATCCCCAATCTCTATGCACATCTGAACACTCAAAAGAAAAAAACTAAACAGCTCTTGACCATGCAAGGGATCTGTCCACACTTGCGCTTCAGAGAAGATGCATGAACTCGCTGTCATACCTCTGTCATTGCAAATAAGATCTTTCCTAATAAGCCCTTCCCTCCTTTAATATAAATAGCTGTTTGCTGAAGCAAATCAGTAGCAAAATGCGTTGTTTACACTCTTTTCCCTGTAAATCAAGTCAACCCCACGGCTCATGCTCCAGGACAGGAGTCTGTGCATCACCTAAGAATCTAATGAAACAACAGTCTTGTGCCTCTCCTCTCTAGAGAGGCTAAACCAGAGGGTTTCTTACACTAGTAAAGTAAGAACAACAGGAGAGGATACCAGGGCTGTTCAACTGTGTTCTGCTTTGTAGCAATACTTCAAAGGTCTGTACTGAATAGTATCTCCTTGTCTAATTAGTACTGAAAGGAAAGGCTACTTTTAGGAAGGAAAAAGGTAGATATTAAAATCTCTTCTCTAGAGGTAAAAAGGCCGAGACAACAGCCCAGGAGCATCAAAACACAGGACTCTGGTTATTCAAAGCCATCCTAATTCTGCTTAGAGGTACAGCCAACCATAGGAGAGGAGGATTTACAGCACTATACACACTCTTCACACACACACGTTACATCACATACACATCCCTGCAGCAGACCTTTCCGAGAAAGCCAGAGAAGCAGTTTACATTGGTATGACCATAGCAGAGCCCTGATGCGCGTGCCCCCTGGAACCTATTGCTACCATTCTCAAAGGCTACATCACCTTAGGAAAGTAGAGAAAACTCCTCCAGTATGAAGCTTTTTTTCAAAATTCTTCCCTTTCAGACGTTTTTTTCATGGGATGTTTAAAAGTATCACGCAGAATATTTCTGGGAAGTTGTGAGATACAGGCAATTTTGGGGATTTTATCCTAGACTGCAGATAAGCCTATTTCATTTTGAAAAGCTCTCTTCCAAAAGTAGAAACTTCAATTTAACATTCATTTCACAATTTTAAGCAAACACAGCAGCGAGGCAATTTCTGATGGAGGTTGACTTGCCAAGCCTGGGTGCCATTTACCATGCATTTATAAACATCTGAATGCTCTTCACCCCAGTGCCTGCATTGCAAGAAACCTGGTCATTACCATCCCCAGTATGGCAAGAGCATCACACACCCTCCCTCAAATTCGCTGTTCAATAAAGAAATAAATAAAATTTGTCAAGGCCTGTTATTACAAACGTGTTTTTGCAGCCAAACCTTTCAATACCAAATACAAGGAAGCTTTCTGGCCTCAAATACTTGACATGAATATTACACTGCCTGTGTTTCACTGGACACGCATTGTCATTCCGCTATCTACACTGTAGTTACAGCGAACGATAGGCCGTCCATCAGAAAGAATGCAATAGTCTGCAGCAAGATTGCCTGTTATCAGAGCTTTCAAATGCTTTTGGAAAAAATTAAGAAGGTTTTAAACGGGCAGCAATGGAAAAGCACTTGTAGTCTATAGCTACTGAAAATCTCAGCATCTAGAAGACAGGAAATTCTTAGCAAGGGTTCAAATGCAGCTCTAAATTCTGTCCTAACACAACGGCCGCAGCTCCATGGATAAAACAGTAAGCAAAACAATCAGACAGACCTGCTAGCAAGCAACTTCTGCCATGTCCTCTTCCTACCCGACCACAAATCCTAGCAGCAAACACTTGCTAGGAACTGAAGGCAAGGGTCCTCCTGCCCCACTGTGGATCTGTGGCTACTGCTTGCTGCACCCGGCTAGCCCTCTTCTCACCAAGAGCAACCAAAGCCCACAGGTAAACATGTTTCTCCACCTCACAACACAGTGTCTCCCCTTGCAAGGCAAGGGGAGATGTCTCCTCCCAGTCTTCAGCCAACCTCCTGCTCCCTACTGCACACCTGCCCTTCATCTCCCATTACAGGGGCCAGCTGAGTCCGAAGAGCAGCACAGCCTCCCTCAAGCCCCTTCAGCTAGCCATTTCAGAGCCACAGTGAAACCGGCCCCTACCTCGCTTCTCCTTCCAACCCACCATGGGGTAGCAGCACATCCTACAGCCCTAGGATAGGTCTTGCTCCGTCCCAGTTCCTCCCTTGCCTCCCTCCTCCCAGCAACCCCACACCTTCCCATCGCTGTGTGCCCTCAGCCTTGCAGTTTGGGGACCTGGAAATCAGCCTCCTCCCCCTCGCATCCTGGGAAGCGCCACAGTGAGCGCTCCTGGCAATCACATAGAAGGTTTTTTATGGTGAATAATAAATAGGCATCATGTGATGCTTCCTACTCTTCTGTTGGAGATGATGTAAACTGCCCCAAGAGGAGGCTGGATTATAACACCTAAAGATGGTCCAAATTTAAAAAGAGAAGAGCATAAGAGTAGTTTCTCTTTTTCTGCCCCTCCTCAGACACTGGGTCCCATAAGACCGCAACTTTACATCTCCCCTGGAAATTAAACATGCAATCAAAACAAAACTCTTTGCTATGGCTCAGGCCCTGCACTGGGCTCAAGCCTATCAGAAGGTCATCTGTCCAGGATAACACTGGAGGAGGCAGGAGGATGGCAGAGATGCACCACAGCATGAACCTTTCTGATTGATTTTGTAATTCCATTTTCTCTTCACTATTTCTACAATCCTTACATATAAACATTTCACTGAAGTCTTCAAGCCATATTATAATCAAACTTAAAAGCAAAAGGGCCTAAACGCATTTGGTT